CTCAAGTCCGTCTTCAGCTGTCACCTCCTTTACTGCGTCATTTCCCTGAAGTCCTACACCAGCCGTCACCTCTATTCCCACTTGAATCTGCTCAAGACCAACGCATGGTGTCACCTCAAGTCCAACACCACCAGTTACCCCAACTTCTTCTTTAGCCGTTGCCTCAAATCCATCCACGTCTGTCACCTTAAATCCATCACCAACTATCACCTCAGGTCCAACACAGTCATCACCTCAAATCCCTCTTCAGTCACCTCACGTCCAACAACAGCTATCACCACAGATCCAACACCGTCAGTCACCTCATCCAACAGCAGCAGTCACCTCAAGCCCCCCATCAGGTCTCACCTCACGTCCATCATCAGATGTCATCTCAAAGCCACCATCAGCTGTCACCTCCCATCCAACATCTGCTGTCACCTGAACTCCAACACCAGAGTCACCTCATTATCAACTCCAGCAGTCACCTCACGCCCATCAGCAGCTCTCACCTCCAGTCCATCCTCATCTCACCCCTGAGTCCACCATCAGCTGTGAGCTCGAGTCTAACAACAGCAGTCACCTCAAGTCCAACACCAGAAGTCACCTCAGGTTCCACTTGAGTCCCACCAAGGGCGTCATCAACTGTCACCTCAATTCCTCATCAGCCGTCACCTCATATTTTTTGTGTGCTGTCACCTCAAGCCCATCATCAGCTGTCATCTCAAGATCATTATAAACTGTCACCTCTATCTCTAGTTCATTGACTTTCAGTCCAACGAGAGCTGTCACCTCAATTCCAACACCAGCGGTCACCTCAATTCCAACACCAGTTGTCACCTCAAGTCCAGCCACAGCAGTCACCTAAATTCCAACACCAGCCATCACCTCACGTCCACACCACCAGAAGTCATCACAATTCCATCCTCATCTGTCACCTCAGGTCCATCACCAGCTGTCATGACAAGTCCAACACCAGCCGTCACCTCAATTCCCACCTGAGTCACCTCAAGAACAACACCAGCCGTCACCACCACTACAACCCCAGCCGTCACCTCAAGGACAACACCAATAGTCAATGCATGTGCATTACCAGGAGTTACGTCAAATCAGCTGTCACCTCACCTCCATCTCCAGTCGTCACCTCCAGTCCAACACCAGCTGTCACCTCAAGTCCATCATCAGCTGTCACCTCAAAGCCATCGTCAGCTGTCACCTGAAATGCAACACCGGAAGTCACCTCATTTCCAACACCGGATGTCACCTCAATTCCATCACCAGAAGTCACCTCAATTCCTCAAGCAGCAGTCACCTCAACCCACCAACAGCAGTCACCGCAATTCCAACACCAGGAGTAAACTCAAGTCCGTCACCAGCCGCTATGTCAAGTCCATCCTCAGCTGTCAACTCCATTTCCTGTATCACCTCAGTCCAACACCAGTTTTCCCTCAATTCAAACACCTGTGTTCACCTCAGCTCCAACACTAGCGGCACCTCCTGTACAAAACCAGGAGTCACCTCATTTCCTAAACCAGCAGTCTCCTCAACTCCAACGGCAGCCGTCACCTCAATTCCAACACCAGCAGTCGCGTCATCTCCGTCACCAGGATTCATCTCCAGTCCATCCTCATCTGTCACCTCAAGTCCATCGTCAGTTTTGACCTCAAGTCCAACACCAGCTGTCACCTCAAGTCCATCGTCAGTTTTGACCTCAAGTCCAACACCAGCTGTCACCTCAAGTCCATCGTCAGTTTTGACCTCAAGTCCAACACCAGCTGTCACCTCAAGTCCATCGTCAGTTTTGACCTCAAGTCCAACACCAGCTGTCACCTCAAGTCCATCGTCAGTTTTGACCTCAAGTCCAACACCAGCTGTCACCTCAAGTCCATCGTCAGTTTTGACCTCAAGTCCAACACCAGCTGTCACCTCAAGTCCATCGTCAGTTTTGACCTCAAGTCCAACACCAGCTGTCACCTCAAGTCCATCGTCAGTTTTGACCTCAAGTCCAACACCAGCTGTCACCTCAAGTCCATCGTCAGTTTTGACCTCAAGTCCAACACCAGCTGTCACCTCAAGTCCATCGTCAGTTTTGACCTCAAGTCCAACACCAGCTGTCACCTCAAGTCCATCGTCAGTTTTGACCTCAAGTCCAACACCAGCTGTCACCTCAAGTCCATCGTCAGTTTTGACCTCAAGTCCAACACCAGCTGTCACCTCAAGTCCATCGTCAGTTTTGACCTCAAGTCCAACACCAGCTGTCACCTCAAGTCCATCGTCAGTTTTGACCTCAAGTCCAACACCAGCTGTCACCTCAAGTCCATCGTCAGTTTTGACCTCAAGTCCAACACCAGCTGTCACCTCAAGTCCATCGTCAGTTTTGACCTCAAGTCCAACACCAGCTGTCACCTCAAGTCCATCGTCAGTTTTGACCTCAAGTCCAACACCAGCTGTCACCTCAAGTCCATCGTCAGTTTTGACCTCAAGTCCAACACCAGCTGTCACCTCAAGTCCATCGTCAGTTTTGACCTCAAGTCCAACACCAGCTGTCACCTCAAGTCCATCGTCAGTTTTGACCTCAAGTCCAACACCAGCTGTCACCTCAAGTCCATCGTCAGTTTTGACCTCAAGTCCAACACCAGCTGTCACCTCAAGTCCATCCTCAGCTGTCAACTCCATTTCCTGTATCACCTCAGTCCAACACCAGTTTTCCCTCAATTCAAACACCTGTGTTCACCTCAGCTCCAACACTAGCGGCACCTCCTGTACAAAACCAGGAGTCACCTCATTTCCTAAACCAGCAGTCTCCTCAACTCCAACGGCAGCCGTCACCTCAATTCCAACACCAGCAGTCGCGTCATCTCCGTCACCAGGATTCATCTCCAGTCCATCCTCACCTCCCCCCTGAGTCCACCATCAGCTGTGAGCTCGAGTCTAACAACAGAACAGCAGCAGTCACCTCAAGCCCCCCATCAGGTCTCACCTCACGTCCATCATCAGATGTCACCTCAAAGCCACCATCAGCTGTCACCTCACATCCAACACCAGAGTCACCTCATTTCCAACACCAACAGTCACCTCAAGTACAACACCAGCAGTCACCAAAATTCCTACACGCGAATTCTCCTCATTCCAAACAGTCGTCGCCACAATTCCAACACCAGCAGTCACCTCACGCCCATCAGCAGCTCTCACCTCCAGTCCACCCTCATCTCACCCCTGAGTCCACCATCAGCTTTGAGCTCGAGTCTAACAACAGCAGTCACCTCAAGTCCAACACAAGAAGTCACCTCAGGTTCCGCTTGAGTCACACCAAGTGCGTTATCAACTGTCACCTCAGTACCTCATTAGCAGACACCTAGTGTTTGTCACCTGCTGTCACCACAAGCCCAACATGAGCTGTCACCTCAAGATCATTATAAACTGTCACCTCTTCTAATACTTCATTGACTTTCAGTCCAACAAGAGCTGTCACCTCAACTCCAACACCAGAAGTCACCTCAAGTTCAATACCAGCGGTCATCTCAGGTACAACCGTGGCAGTCACCTCAAGTCCTAAAAGAGCAGTCACCTCAAGTCCACCAGCAGCTGTCACCTCAACTACATCATCATCTGTCACCTCAAGTCCAAATTCAGCTTTCACCTAAATGTCATCATCAGCTGTCACCTCCTCTACTGCTTCATTTACCTGAATCCAACACCAGCAGTTACCTCAAATCTAAACACAGCAGTCACCTCAAGATCAACAGGAGCAGTTCCCTCAAGTCCATCATCAGTTGTCACCTCAACTTCATCATCAGCTCTCACCTTAATTGCAACACCAGCCGTCACCTCACGTCCAACAGCAACAGTCACCTCAAGTACAACACCAGCAGTCACCTCAAGATCTTTATCAACTGTCACCTCAAGTCCATCCTTAGCTGTCACCTCAAGTCCATCCTCAGCTGTCACCTCAAGTCCATCCTCAGCTGTCACCTCAAGTCCATCCTCAGCTGTCACCTCAAGTCCATCCTCAGCTGTCACCTCAAGTCCATCCTCAGCTGTCACCTCAAGTCCATCCTCAGCTGTCACCTCAAGTCCATCCTCAGCTGTCACCTCAAGTCCATCCTCAGCTGTCACCTCAAGTCTGTCATCAGCTGTCACCTCATGTCCAAAACCAGCCATCACCTGAGGGCAAAAGTAACAACCAACTCAATTGCAAAACCAGCAGTCACCTCATATCCATCAGCAGTAATCACTTCACACCCAGCACCAGCTGTCACCTCATTTCCATAAACAGCAGTCACCTCATGTCCAACACCAGCTGTCACCTCATGTCCAACACCAGCTGTCACCTCAAGTCCAACACCAGCAGTCAGAAGTCACCTCAAGTGCATCTTCAACTCTCACCTCAGTACCTCATTAGCAGACACCTAGAGTGTGTCATCTGCTGTCACCACAAGCCCAACATCAGCTGTCACCTCAGGTCCATTATAAACTGTCACCTCTACTACACTACTCCTTCATTGACTTTCAGTCCAACAAGAGCTGTCACCTCAACTCCAACACCAGTGGTCACCTCAAGTTCAACACCAGCTGTCACCTCAAGTCCTAAAATAGCAGTCACCTCAAGTCCACCAGCAGCTGTCACCCCTAGTCCATTATAAACTGTCACCTATAATACTACGTCATTGACCTCTAGTCCAACAAGAGCTGTCACTTCAATTCCAGCAGCAGGAGACACCTCAAGTCCATCCTCAGCTGTCACCTCA